GGATGGGGAGGGAGGTCGATGTGGAACCCCTCCGTCATGCTCCAGCGTCACAATGAGGATCTGAACAGCCTGCTCCACCAGCTGCTCCCGGTAGTCGGAGAAGAGCAGGTGGTTGTACGGGATGCCATAGCCCACTGGATCATAGGCACACACCACATTCAGCAGAGAGGTGAACAGAGGCAGAGCATGTCTAGGGAAAAGGACATAAAGACCAGGTTATAGAATGATGTGCTAGAATTTACCCTTACCATTTTTCTTAAGGAAAAATTGTATATACTCTATTTTGTAATTAACTCCCCTATTTAAGTCAATGCAGAATGTAAGTAGTTCACAAGACAATCAGAATGCATTCATAGTTATATACAAATGTGTAAGCATGAAAGACCATTCCGCAACACAATTCAAGACTTTGGAAATAATAGTTTGACTGTAAAGAAAGATCTAAAAGAGCTGCATATAAGAAATGTTTCCCTCATTTAAATGCATGATAATGAACAGATCAACTTGTGATGTTAATCATGAAGTGCGTTTGAAAGCTCTGAAAGGTTTTGGACTAGATTGCTTTGGTTAAAACTGTAACTCTTTGATTATCTGCCATGGCTTAATTCTGGTTAAAGGTAGTCCATGTATTCACAATAATGTAACGTCATCTAATCAAGGTTTTACTTCCTCTGGCATTTAAAATGAAAGGGTAAACATTTACATAACGGTTTGCTGGGCATCATTGCATGTGTTTGTCCATACATTTGTGAACTTGCTTAAATCTGCTTATTACCTGTTTTCTGTGGAACAGAAGAATGTCACCCAAGGGTTGAGGACGCTGTTATCCGTAGAGGAAGGCAGATACATGGCCTCAGAGAAGCACGTTAGTAACAATCTCAGCAGCTCTGTCCTGAAGAGGATCAGTAAAAAGAACTTAGAGGTTGACAGAAAAAAGTCACCCATGTAAAAATAAGAGAGTAAAACCTGTACGTGTGACAGATCCTGTCAAGCCGGCTGACTCACCTATTTAGATCATGGATGTAATTGAGAGGGGGCGACTGTGCAAAGCCCACTCCTGCCTCCCAGATGTATTCACAGCTGTCTATAGACTGCATGTTCTCTACTGAGTCCTGGATGAGGTCACAACAAATATCCAGATTAAAATTAGTTTAAGATTAGCTAATTAATGTCACAAATAAATCATATATATATATAAAAAAAAAGATTAGCAAATAAATTAATAATAAATGTTTCCATGATGTGTGGCTTGTGGAAATGTAGAAGTGATTAAATAATTAGCATAGAATAACAAAGGTTACCAAGGAAGTTTAAACCCCTTAAGAGCATTTACTGTTAACAGAGTTGTGGTTTGACGGAAAATTCCTTTCTTGCTCATGAGAGTTGAGGAATTCTTCCAGGTGAGAATGACAATTGTGATCTTTTTCTATGCAAATCATTTTCAGAAACTAGAGTTACAGGTTAGTTGGGCAACATAAGAATGAGGAAGTAGGAAACAATGCTAAAAAAAAGTATCTTTAACAATCAAAATACATGTTAACCATTCCCAGCTTTTTTAAAAACCTATCATTAATGATTAATGCTGGATGGATTTGACACGGCAATATAAAAAAATGGGTACACACAGGGCCTCTCCTATGGCTGTGCACAGTGAAGTCAGGGCAGAAGAGGAGGTCAGCGATGGCCAGGAGCAGAGACTCGGCCAGGGGTCGGGCTCCATCATCATCATCCAGCTCATCAGTCTGGAAAAGATGGACACATGTATGAGACTAGATCCAGATGATCAGCATTATTCTGTATCCTTCATTGAAAGGTATTGTGTAAATGGTAAAATTTGTTGCAAAGGCTTGTCAGAAATGTCTCAGTACAGCTGAGTTATTCGTCTCTACAGGTAAAAAGTAAAAAACACCTCATTACTACTGGAATGGGAAACAACTTTAACTTAAATAAAAGAGGTTTACATATAAAAAGACCAGGCTGATAACTTGTAATGCTATAAACACTGTATCGTATGTTCAAAGTAAGTTAGCATCTGAGAAGCATTATCATAATGTTATATTGTTTGTTATATTTGTCATCAGGTTTTCAAAGTAAGATGTCGTCAACACTTACTTATAACAACATTTAAGAGTGAGTGCTGTGAAAGTATTGTTAAGAATAATTAAAAGACTTGTTTTGATTGTCTCCCCCAGGAATAAACAAAGCATTTCTGACTCTGATTGATTCCTGTTCCCACTCACCCCAGCCCGGCCAGCCCCGGGCACAGTGGACCAGAAGAATCCTCTCCAGTCCTGGTCCTCAAAGATGTAGGGAAGGATGCGGCTGAGGATGCGAGTGCAGTTCAGGACCACCTGCTTCTCCCTCTCTGTGGGGCAACCAGACTCTGCACCCTGCACCAGCTTCTCCACGGCCTGAGGACAACAGAGGAATGAGATGTGTGGTATTGAAGCATTTAGTGATGTGCTGAACAACATGCTCTTCTTTTTTTTCACGGTTTGGTCTCAGTCGGTTAATAATTACCCAGCCAACATGCTCAATACATTAATAAACACCATCATTTCTGAGGCATCTTGTTCCATAAAAAAGATTATGGCCATTTTTTTTAGCATAACATTCTTTGTTAATTATAATAATTGTATGTTGAGAAAGCCTTTTAGAGTTAGCAGACCCTTATAATACTTTTATTATAAGAGTATTATAAGGTTAATAGTATCATATCAACTGGACAATATTGATTTTATTTTTGGAAAACAAAGACAAAAAACCTGCAGCACTTAATAAATTGATTGTTAAAATATATGTGTTTTGATTACACTGGGAGGTACATTGTTTGAAAGATATGGGGACATGTGTTTTTGTTATAGGCCTTCAACACATATTTACTTGAAAATAATTCTTGATCTAAATTCAATCACCAGCATGTTGCTGGCTGTGTTCAAAATATGTACCAAACCCCTTTGAATTAGCAGCTTCAAGGGCTCTCGTCTCCTCCTCTTTATTTAATTAGGCTCTAAGTACCAAGTATGCCTGTTTTGTTTTTGATAGGCTACTTCAAACGGAAACTGGTACCAAGAGACAGGAAGTCAAGGGAAAGGAAGGGAGAGTTGACTCACTTATTCCCTCATCTGAAAGCACGAGGCAGTGCTTTGCTGACAGACTCCTCCGCTGGGCTCTAACAAACAACACTATTCCTCAATGTAGCCTCAAAACAAGGAGTATCCCTATGCAATCTAACATTATAAACAAGTTTGTGTTACACAGATGCATCAACAGTTTCTTCAGTGTGTACCTTATAGCAGAGGGTTGCTAAATTGGAGGGGGACTCTTCTCGAACAGCTCTTATCTCGGCCGCTGGCACCAGTGCAAAAACATCCTGGACCGTGGTGGTGGTATCTGCCCAGAACTGGTCCCAGAAGGCATCGTCTGTGGCTTCCACTGGCTGTAAAAAAACATGTTTACATTTCATTTCAGGGAGATTTAAAAAAACAATAGCCCTAATAATCTTAAAGTGCATTTATAATAATATAATATATAGCCCTTTTTATTCAGAATGCACCTTCTTTTGTCTGCATAGCCCATCTATGGCCGACCTAATGGCAATGTAAACACAAGCTCTAGTCTAGCAGCAGCAGTGAGGAAACATGATATGGCACCCTGATCTAGCACTGTCCACCTGCCGCATCTGCAAACGCCAGACTACGTCATCAGCTTTGATTTAGCAAAGCCATCTTTTTTTCCTCCATAAAATACCAAAACATGAACACATCTTGTGATGTGCATCGTAGAATAAACCATAAATGAATCCATGACAAATACGACATATTTGGACAACAGTGATTTTAACATCGACCTTAGGAACACTTAGGTAATGGAAAATAAATATTGAGATGTTGCATGCAACATGAGACTGTTTTCCTATCGCTACCCCATCATACGCGTCATCTCCTCGGTGATGCTCTCCAGTGCGCTCATCGGCACAATATCTATCAATTGTACCCTTTGTTCAGCTGTATTGGAAGCGCATTTACCTGTGTTTTTGTTGTCAGCTGGATCACTGCTTTCCTGAAGTTCAGTTTTGAGTCGGTGCTGCCCATTGCGATTATTTCCCTTTATACTAACAGGGCCGCTGCTGTTGAGGATCCCTGTTAATCTCACCTCCGTCCTTCGCTTGAGTCATTGGCGGAGGCGTTTTTTACTCTATTGGCTGGCTGGACCTGCTGCAGGGTGTAACTTCCGGGTTGGGAAGATGTCAACAATAGAGTCAGATCTTTATACAGTCTATGAGTCAGATTAGATTGTTTTGTTTCTAGCATTTTAAACTGCTATACAGCCTAAAGACTGTGATTTATTTATTTTTCCTTAGGGGGGAAATGTTTCCATATTATAAAATAACCATACTGATTTTACGTTCAGACGCCCACTTTCTGTTACATTGTAGATCTAATTTATTGAAGAAGCAGTTTTTTTTATTCCAACCCTTAAAGTAATATTTACAACGGTCTGCAATGTGTTGTAGTATTAGGTTTAAAACAGCGACATCTTTTGGGGAATGTACCATTTTTGTCAGAGCCTTATGACATAGTTATTAAATTGGTGTGTCTGATTAATAAAACCACTTACTTTTTACAGAAGAATCTTGTTTTAAAAAAACGAATTGTAAAGTTTAATTCAAATGAATTACTCAATTAAATCAAACGCTTTATCGTGCACTGCAAAATGTGCACCAGTGTTATGACATGCTGCATTTTAGTGCTACTCGTAAGCCCCTTGTTTTTCTTTTGCAAAACGATGTTACCCTCATTGCATACGTGTAAATGATATTCATCATTTGCCTTATTATAATTGTTATCATAAATATCGTGCGTATTACACTTCACATATCTGATTCCACATTAAACTCTAATTTGAATGTCCTACTAGCACAGTATAGTTTATCTTTCCTTACAGCCCTTAAAAGCAACACTGCTGGTTTTCGCGCAGGCGCAGTGCCATGTAAACACAACTGTCGCGGTTGGTTGTGGTTCTGGCTGTTTTAGCTAGATAGGTTGAACAAAAATAGCTGTTATACTCGGGCTTTGGCACTGAGATCGTTAGATTTTTGACAAGGAAACTTTACTTTTTTTCTGCAGTATGTGCCTTTGTCAGCAATTTAAGAGCATCAGCTTCGAAGATTAGCTAGCAGTGCGTTAGCTTTTAACCTAGCGTTTGTGACTGGCTTTTTTAACTGTCCTAGCTAGCTTAATGCTATTTCGGTAACACCCGGTTACTATGCAATTTTTAATTACCAATTATTTACAATTTTGAGTAGTTAATTATACACGATAATCCTTTCGGTGTTGCCAAAATGTCTTATAGTTTCACATTAATATTTACCATAATTAGCTAGCTTGGCAAGGCTATTTTGCTAACTCAGGCGATAGGCCATCGACTGAAAGGAATCAAGCTAACAAGTCGATAACGTCAACTGTTCGGGTCCTCGGTACTGATCAGAACAAAAACAACGGGAACTCACCGAGATTGATTTAGTGTCATCATATGTTGACTGAAAACAGGTAAGGGAGGCGTACAATACATAATATGACGCTAACTGATGAGATATTGCTCGAAAGAAATGTTTTTGTTTCGTTGATGTGGCCTATATCAACCACCTGCATCAGCCATTTAAAATAATTGTGATTATGGGGTTGGTGTTGAAACATGCGAGCTGCAGTTGATCGTTCATGTGTCACAGCAAACATATACATGTTAGAGGCTATATGTGTTTAAAATGCGTGTGTGGATGTGCTTGAAACCCAAACAGGAAACGTCAGCGCAGCGGCGGTGATGAGGAGAGTGGCCACCTGGTGCCTCAGGCCAAGAGGCAGAGCAGATCTCACCCGCTCTCTCCTGAGCCGGGCCGGGACGCGTGGGACTCTGAGGTACATAACACTGTCATAAGGCCTACTATAGTAATACTGAAGAAGCTGGGCATACAGTTGTCTTTTTTCACTAAATGTTCTGTAGCAGCAGATGTCAGCAAATGTAGTTAAGTTCAATTTGTCTAAACAAAGAACCAAAAAACTGAAAAAATTAATTATTTGTCACCTTTTGAGTTAAGATAAGATAGGACTTTATTTATCCCGAAGTAAATTGTTTTGCCAGAGTTTAGATTTCATCTTAACATCACTCTCTACTGGTTAAACTGATAACCGAGTGTTTAGGGCATGAACCTCATGGGGGCAAATGCCCTGAGTAGCAAGCCTGGTTAAAGGCTTTTAATTTATCTAGAGAAAACCACCTTAATGTGATCAATGGGGAGAACTGGGATAAAATGTGTTGCCCTATCTGTTGTAACTACTTTTTCATGGTCTGATTTGTAAATTCCCTAAACTCACATGCTGTTGGAATACACTACCTTTAGTACTGTCAGTGTTACCAAACAATCTGACTTTCAGTGTTTACATAGGAGATGGATTATATATTAGGTCCCACTGTCAAGCTATGGATATAACAGTAGTTTAGATTTTGATTTCATGCTAACATCACTCTCTACTGGGCAAACTGATACCCAAGTGTTTAGGGCATGAACCTCATGGGGGCCCTGAGCAGCAAGCCTGGTTAAAAGGCTTTTAATGTATCCAGAGAAAACCACCCTTAATGTTGACATTCATATCTAGTTTACGCACTGCTAATGTGACATCTGCATTTCAGTCCTCCAACAGTGAGAGCAGCAGCAGCATCAGCAGTCCTGAGCATGCGGCTGGGAGCTGTGGCAGTCAGTGTGTTGTGGGCCCCAGCAGTCCGGTCGGCTCCGGGGACTCTACAGAAATGGCCGGTGGCGCCACAAGCCTGGTGACCTACCTGCAGATCAACCGCATCCTGAAGCACGCCCACTTCCAGAGCCTGCAGAGCCGATGTCCAATCAGAGACACATGACGACCCCATGTCTCTCTCTGTGTGCCACCAGAGGAGCGAGTCCCTGAGGCATGCCGGAGCCCCACATGCTGATTCACTTCATTCAGCTCTTCCCACCCATCTCCAGTTACTGTGATCTCCCACAGCTCTAACATACCTGTGGATGAAGCGATCAGCACTTGGTCAGGTATCTGGAGGGGATTCATCATTCAAATAAATCAAGTGATAATCATTTTAGCAATAATAACTGTGTGATCAACTTAAACACATTTTTTGTGATCCACTTATTTTCTGACCAGTCTGGTTTACATGCTGCTCTGACGGGACTGATTGAAGATGACAGATCCCTGTGTTTTGTCTTAAATGTTGTATGAAAACAGTGCTACTGGAGCTGCAAAAAGTGGCACAAAACACGATTTTATGCCGGTCAGTGTGACTCGTTTAGTCTCATAGTAGGGTACGTAAGTTGTACTGAATCTGATGTCTGTGTAAGAACATGGACCAGTCTCAGGGAGGATTTGCACTTGTCTTGGACTGCTCATTTGCTTTCATATTCAGACGGGCAACCCTCTACAGGGACCTGTAGAACCATGGGTGGTAACTTGGCCAAGGAGGTTATGCTTTCTGACCCTATTTTGTTAGTTTATAGATTATTTAGAGTTCAGTTCAATTCAGTGGAGAGCCATCTTATGCGTTAGGTGATTTGGTTAGTTTTAGTGTGGTTTGCAGTTTTAGGACATTTTTCAATACTTAACAAAGTACAGTATGTTTGACGGTCCTGATGCTGATAACAATTTCAAAAACCATTGATTGCTAAACCAGGTGTTGCTTACTGACATCTTTAATGTTTAATTTTCTCCTGATCAGACTTATTAGACCATTAATTTGTCAGCAGGAAAATGAAAAAAACGATTGGCCTGGTTTTCATGAAACTCAGTGGAAAATGTAAGCATGGGTCAAAGGAGAACCCATTCAATTTTGGACCTGGATCATCGGTCGGATACAAACCTTATCTTTTACTCATGGAAACAGCCTTGGCAGAGGTCTGTGCTCCGCGTGTGCCCTTCTCGTTATTTAAGGAAATGAAACATCCCTTGTTTTTCTTGTGACCACTACAAAGTCTTGATTATTCAATAAGTATTCTGTGGATCGCATAGGACTAATCAACTTCAATTAAATTCCACTTCTCGTATTTTACATCAGACATTTATAGGTAAATACAACATCGAGCATATCTTTTGTAATTATTCTCTGAATACAAGTTGATTCATGTCAAAACTGATCATGATAGGAAGCTTACCATGAAAAGATTACTTGGAATCATTTTTATAGGATTAGGTCTGATAAGTAGGCGGTTAAGGTTTCTTGTGTTTTCTTGTGATCATGGGAACATTTAGTGATCACAACATTACCAGCTTTGTTTTATCATGACCACAAAAAGCAAACAAGACAATGGTGTTCAAACCGCAAACTCCATACAACTTTCCATACTCCTTTTAGCCTTTTCAAATTGTTTTTGATTGTATGGAAGCGTTTGAGCATGTAGGAAAAAGTAGTTGTGTCTGTCCAGAGGGGGTTACATCACAGCCTTTAGGAACAAAAAGACATTCCCTGGGCTTTGTTTGCGATGTGACCACTGAAATGCTGTTTTTAAATCGCAGACAAGCCTTTCTGCCTGTGCACTAACATTGGATGGTTGCTGTGTGTGTGTCCTTGTGCACTGAACATCCAGGTACAAGCACTGACCACGAGGCTGTGCGTCTCTTCTCTGAGCATTAGATTGGTTTTATTGCTAAAGCCTCATTGCAGGAGTAAGCATAGCTGTTTTGATTTTATTTTCAGACTGGTGTGTCAGAAGTTAAAGCATTTTGAAGATGTGGTTTATTTTTTTCAATGAAATATTTTTTGTATTTAGTGATGTACATGACATTAGCCTGCCATTGAGTTTTTTTCTTGTAAATACCCCTTCATTTCCAAAATAAAAATTAATGTTTTTGAAAAAGGCATTGTTTACTTATTTTGTATTAAGCTGCATTTTGCCCTTTTCAAAATGATTTAATACATCTCCTACATGTTGATGCTGGGTGATCTGGTTCTATTCATACTGTTCCTCTTTTTGAGAATATACCTATTAGGTTTTGCTGACAGGAATTCCCGCCATCCCCACATCCTCCCTTTTCCCTCCAAATAGCCAGTAATGAATGACTCCCCATGCATTCAGAGCATCATTAATGAGAGATGACCTGTGTCTAAGCGAGGAGCGGGGAAAGGTTTCTTTAATTAGCACACTACATGTCCTTGTCTTGTCACAGACACAGTAACAGATTACATACATTAATGCACCACACGTAACCACGGTTACCTTGCAGGCCACTGTGGGTCCTCATTACTCGCCTTCTTTTGATTCCCTCGCTTCACCTATCCGTACTAAATTAGAGATGACGAATGAACCAATGATAATTCAGGATTAGCAATCTGCCTGCATGTAGCTCTTTTTTTCTCAGGTGCATGCCTTCTCATTATCCTGAAATGCAGCACTATACAGAGAGGGACAATTAGTGAGTTTTAAATGAACGTTACATTTTTAGCATCATCTGAGGTATTCCCTGTTTTAACCAGCCTTTTGTATTGTGAAGCAAACATCCCATTAGAGCCAGGCAAATGCTGTGTAATTAAACTGGCAAAAATGCAATTAGCAGCATCTTGGATAAATATTTATTTAGTTAAAAATCAAATTCCTGTTCACGAAAAACTTTATTGCATGTTGAATAAATAATTTACCCGAAAATGTACATATAATCAAGCCTTCATAGGCCTCTATTGGCCCTATTTTTTGGTGTTAAGTTAAAATATCCTTTAACTGCAGTAGAGATCAGCGTTTATATCATTTTTAAAACAGCCTACTGGATGGATGAGACATAGCAAAGTAAATATATAGAAAGTTGAATTCAGTGTAAAACGTGTATTCTTTTGCACACGCTGTTTAAAATGGTAACATTTCTGGGGGAGGTAGTATTAATATTGTTGTTGTAATGTTATTATTATTATGAAGAACATTAACAACAGCGATAATATCATTCAGGGTGAATGGTTAAGTAGATAAACTAAATAACTAAAACGTTTCATCCTTAAATGACCAAGAGTCAAATGTCACAGCACACACTAGTTTTCACTGTAAATACTGGGATAGTGTTCTTTCTGACAGCAGATGTTCTGAGTCCAGATGTTTATGAAATGATCAGCAGAGGGCAGCACACTCTGAGTGTTAGCTGCTGAAGTCCTCGCAGACTGCATCATATAAAAGATGGGGTATTCTACAACAGGGTCAAAAAGTGTGGGCTACGCGGAAGATATTTATCTTTAATCTGTTTTCACACACAAATACACAAACACATCATACACACTGTCCTTTCTGGGCAGCGCACAGATATGAAGGTGGGCGGTGATGAATGGCTCATATCAGCTGCGTGGAGAGGCAGGAGAGAGTTAAATGAACTGTCCTTGTTCTGGGGTCTATGTATGCGCATACATTGTTATATTTTTACCGTGGCCAGCGGAAAAAAAAATCTGGGTTAGTCTTTGGTTTGTTTTCTTTTGTGTCCTCTCTGCTAAGATTCCTATCTCTCCTCAAAGGCAAAAGCACACTAAAGTAATCAGCTACAGCCAAACTACTGTATGTTTTAGATTTATCAGTGTCTGGTTCACCTTCAGCTTCAACACTAGAATAATCTCAACAATCTTATTTTAGAAAAGGAAAAGACAAACTGGTTACAGGACAGTCTTTGGAGTGGCGTTGGTATATTCAAAATATGAATCATGTCAGACCTAAAAGAACAAGAGCAGAAAAAGGAAAAGTAAGCTAAAGCTGACCTTGCCACCCTTAGCTGTCTTTGCCAGACTTTGCCTGATATGTGTTTGGGCAGCTGTTGCCTAGCATGAGCTGGTGATTGGGTTGGCATCAACCATGCAGCTTACCCTCACCAGCCAACACAAACATCTGCTTTACCTCCCCACAACTATTTTCGCCCAACATCAAACAACAAAGCTCGCCCGCTCTACTGCCCCCATGGCCATCCGAAGAATTAATGACCCACCAAGCGCATTAGCGGTGCCCTATTGCCCCGGCCTGGCTGGAGCGGGGAATAAGGAAAGCTGTGGCAGAGAAACAAGGAAGAGGGAAGGGTTAGTGGGTCGGGATGATGAAGTACTTCGCAGGTCAGGAATCGAGATGGATAGTTATTCAAGTAATATTGTGATGTTTACTGCATTCATGCAAATCCCTTTTCATCCTGCAATGCGCCTTTATCATTCATTTTACAGTCACGTTCACAGATGAGAAATTTGATTTCATAGCATGTTATTGTTTGCAATTCTGGTTCTCTGATAGATGTTAAGGGTTTCAGTGAAAGCACAGTATTACTCTCTATTTTTGCAACTTACCCTAGTGGTGTACTCAAGTTGAGGAAGGAGTTTGTTAAAATACAAATCTCTGACTAGAAGGCAAAGCACTCAAACTGAAACAACCTGCTCTTGAGAAACAACGAAAACAGAGGAGGATCTTCTTCCTTATCCTCAGTGAGTCAGCCGACGCTGCTGCTGTGAAGGCTCACTCTTTCCCCAACTGTTGCTGTCAGGGTGTGGAGAGGAGGGCTGGGTTATCTCACTGACTGCAGCCTAAACATGCAGCCTCGATGCAGCTGAGAAACAGTCGTCATTTCCCTAAGAAAAAGAAAGAAAACCGTCCAGCCACTCTCTTTAGAGCTGTCTGCAGTTTTAAAGCTTTGAACGGACTGAACAGAAAAGTAGGATGACCGACAGGCTCGGCATGCTTGGGTCTGTGTCTCCGGTTCCACTTTATGGCCTCCCTATTCAATTTCACACAATGCGCTCGAGAGACAATGTACAGTAGACTGTTTTCACAGCACAGCGAAGTTACAGTCATGGCCTCGATCAATCATAATAAATGTTCACCCCAGTACACAGAAAGAAAGGCTTTGAGCAGTTTTTTGTCCCACATGCAGGCCACCAGTGTTCCTCGTTTTGTGGTTGCTTGTGAGGATATTCACACACCCTGGCTTATATTTGTAAAACGTTTACAATTTTCTGTTTTGACATGTTCAGCTGTCAACACTCGCAGGCCTTCAACCCAGAGTGTGCAGGAGGGAAGAAGTGCAATAGTTTAGAGAGAGTCGTGCTAAGTGGGACTGTTTAGGATTGGTTGGGTAGAGCATGCACTCAGCGCACCACAATATATACCGCTGTTTTCTAAATGGCCCCTATTAACTGAATGGGAATAGGCTGCACTCAGGCCTGTGCTGTTAGCTCAGAGAGGACAGGCTACATGGCTCACACAGCCTGGTGTCGTGTGCACACGGCTGACCTACCACACAGACATGTTTCATATCCAGAAGACTGATATGGCGCCGTTCACAGTCACCAAGGTGCAATTTGTTGCATTTGGACTATAACTGTCAGGAAGAGATATACCCTCACTTAAATAGCTGCCCATAATCTGCCCCTCTCCCTGTATTATCCTAATTGAACCCACGGGCGGCCAACGCCATCAATAGCTGAGCTCATCTGCAAATTAATAAAACATGGGCCCTCTCCAAATCTGTGCTTGAGATAAAGCTTGAAGCTACTTAGACACACTAAAGGACTGAGTGTTTGTGATTGTTATTTTCAAAAGGAATGGAAGCACAATAAAAATGTTTTCATTTTCTTTTTCAGCAGTGATGAGTCCTTATGGCTCTCCAGGTCCTATGTGTATTCCCAACTCGCTAGTTCTTCCTTTTCGTAATGGAAACACTTATTAAAAACATAAAACATCATTTACCTAAACATGCTTTTGCAACCCTCGAACACAGGGATGGTAGATCGGAGGCCACACAGCTTTGAGGCGCAGATTCTTGATGATTCAACAGGTGATCACCGAGCAGGATGTTTTGTTTTCTCCTCACTGCTGACTGTTGTGAAGCCACATGTTCCTTGGTCAGGGCTTAGACATGCTGGCACCACCAACAAGTGCCAGATCAGCACAAGAACAGGGGGGTTTTTGACTTTGTGTTTATTTTTGACTGTCTGGACGGACGCCCAGCGTGATGTGGGAGTTGATGAAACGGGTGGTCATCATAATAAGACCTAGATCTTAATAATAACAAATCCTAGAGGACACTAAAAAAGCAGCCAGGGGTTATTAAAGACATCTATCATGTATCTTGGGCTCGTAGTCACTGAGTTACCATCCCTTCTTCTTCTTCTTCTTCTTCTTCTTCCTCTTCCTCCTCCTCCTCCTCCTCCTCCTCCTCCTCCTCCTCTCGCCATTGTTGATCACTCTTCTGTTAAACATGCAGCCAAGGCCATGGCGACAAAACTTCCCCTCCTTTCTCTCCCATAAAGCTTTCTATCATGGAGCACAAATCCATTTGTTTTCACACATACATAACCCAAGCAAGACTTTCAACCTCCTACTGTTCCTCCGAATGGAAGGCCGAGCCTAAAGTGGCATCAGTCTCTGAGAAAAGGTGGGACTCCTCCATATCAACATAACGTACATGGCCTTGAGTGCACCTGAAAGTGGTTGGTTTGCTCTTGGGTTGATTTTACAGCACAGTATGCTGCAGGACATAAAGAAAGGAATGCTGTTAAAGCTGGAAGGCCATGACAACTTGATTAGCCATCAAGATCAACTGTGAACAACCTGGGAGCATGGAGAGAAAAGGCTGACATCACAGAGCTCGGGTATATGGAGCCATGGATATATGGACAACATAGAAAAAACATACTGACTCTCCAAAGAAAACAGTGACTAATCCTTGGACAGAGTATTGTTTGGGCATGCACATGATTGTTGAAACACCTCGATGCCACAGTGAATGATGGTGCTCACTTGTCTATGCTGGACCAGTTACAAAGTGAGGGGTGTAAAAACACGAGTAATCATCAAACCAGAGGGTAAGCAGGTTCCCATGAACAATATACACAGAGACAAGCCTTTTCATCCA